AAGAAAGAAAAAAAGAAAGAAAGAGAGAAAGAGAGAGAGAGAGAGAGAGAGAGAGAAAGAAAGAAAGAAAGAAAGAAAGAAAGAAAGAAAGAAAGAAAGAAAGAAAGAAAGAAAAAAAGGAAGATTAAATGATCATTTTTATGACCAATCATTTCCTGTTTCCTGGGGGAGGGAGAATCAATGAGTAACTGGTATACTCATTGCAACTTTTGTCTTTGCGGTTTGTATGACATACTTTGATTATATAATAAAGATTTTGTAGCTTATTTAAGAAATTCCTTACCACAAGTACTTTTCATTAAATAAAACACCTTTGTACCTTCCTTGCTAAAAAAGGCCAGAAGTGTTTTCGTATGACATGACTATAGGTAACTATCAATTCTCTTCATTTTATAAACACACTTCAGCATGCAATTTTTTATTATAAAGGATTTAAGTAAGAAAAATCTTAAATGTTAAATAACTTGCACAAATGAAAGCAAAAATGCTTATTTTGAACCAAAGGCAAACACGTAAACCGACACAGAAGAAACACGTACCCATACGAATGAGTGAGCATTCGGAGCTTGAGCTGGCAGGAGGAGGGCTAACATGATGTGTTAACAACTCTTTGTAATGGGTTTCATCTAAAATAACATGGTATGTGCCTAACAAGCAAAAGCAAAACACAGCAGTTATAAAGACAAGAGCTTCTCTGTCAGTCTAAGGAAGTCTCATCATGTGAAAATATACATTTCATAACCATTTTAAGTAAATTATCATTTAAAAATAATTTAAATAAATCTCTCAATCCAATTCTCTAAGCATAATAGTAACTAAAATTAAAGCCAAGCTACAGTCTTTACAAAGTATTACATAAAGTGAGCTTACTAGTGTTTTGAAAGCTGTAACTCTAAACACTGACCTACTGAATGTTCCTGCATTTTAAGTGTTTGCTTAGTAAAATCAATATGCTTAAGATTACAGCTATATTCTCAACTACAGACATAAAATGGTTTCAGTTTAATAGTGCAAAACATCCTACTTAATTAATAAACTTCTTCTTACACAGTAACTATAATTATTGGAGAATGGAGATATATACCACCAGTTTCACGAGCAAGGACAGTGCAAACTCGAACCTCTGCAGACAATCCAATAACAGACACTCTGATTTTAGCTGCCTTCAGGGTCTTCATAAGATCCAGAAAGATGAAATATTTCATAAGAGAAAGAAAAACATTTATGAATAATAACTTTGAAAAATAGTGTTCTGAAAACTAGTGATAAAGTCACTACCACATTTTCTTTAGAGTCTGCTTCAGTTGTGGTCCTACCTTGATGAGATCATAAATATTAGACGGATCACAGGTTGTCAGGCTGCTAAAGATGATTAGTACTTCTCTACTTGTATGTCCAGGCATATGTCTACAAAGAGAGGTGAGGATACATTACAATAGATCATATTATACTAGCTAAAAATTCATCCAAAATGAGGAGTACATATGGTTTATACATCTAAGCTACAAAATAAGGTAATAAATGTTAAGAAAAAAGTTTCAGTCAATTCACGATTATTATTTGGTATCCAATTCTAAATTTCACTGGGCAGTAGTAGCATACTCCTTTAATCCTAGCACTTGGAAGGCAGAGGCAGGTGGATCTCTGAGACCAAGGCCAACCTGGTCTCCAGAGTGAGTTCTAGGACAGCTAGGGCTCCACAAAGAAATCCTGTCTCAAAAAAAAAAAAAAAAAAAAAAAAAAAAAAAAA